ATTCTTTGTTCTGTGTAGATATGGAAAACCACACATGTATCTAAATCATACATGTCTCCACAGCAGCAGTAGAATTTCCTACTGGAACAAAGTAGGAATTTTGTTTGGGGTTGGGGGTGGAACAAAGGCAGAGGATATAAAAGGGAATATGCATGACCTACAAAATAGACTTGCATGAGAGCTTAAAATACCAGTTATTTAAAGAGAAGTACCTTGTAGTATATCAACACTTACCAAAAACAGAAACAAAGGTAGGAATTATGAAGCTACACACACAGGTCAGTGTTCAGGCATCTGGGAACAGCGAGGAAGGGAGGGCTGAGAATTCTGTAACGAAGGAACTGAGTTTTTCCAGTTGCCTCCTGGATTAGAGCTGTGTCCGTGATTTTGTACAGTCCAGAATTCTCAATCCTGACTGAAATATACTTTCTAAAGGTGTGTGTGTGTGCATGTGGGTTGCGTGTACGTGTGCGTGTGTGTGCATGTGTGTGTGTGTGCCGGAGGACCATTTCTGGTGTCATCCTCAGCAGTTTGCCCTACCTCCTCTGAGACAGGGTGTCACCTAGACTTTCTTGCTGTGGACCTCAGGGATCCTGCTGTTTCTCCTGCCCCAGCACGGGGATTACCAGTGTGTACCACAAAGCCTGCTATTTTTAGGTGTGTTCTGGGGATAAAACTCAGGTCCTAGTGCTTGCAAGGCAAGTGCTCTAACTCAGCCATCTGGCCAGCTCCTGAGACCTACTTTTAAGAGAACAAAAAGCCACATTGTGTTGGCATTCTCACAGAGCCAGAGTACAAAATTGCAACACAGAACCGTAAACAATCCTAAATTAGAAGGGCAAGATTGCAGCAAGAACATAAAACTTTCTCACCTGTCTTTTTTAATCATTTGACTACACTAAATATGTCAAGATATTAAGAGGATAGAGGTAATAGCCAGGGGTGGCAGAGGCAGGTGAATTCCAAAGAGTTTGGGGCCAGCCTGATCTATATAGTGAGTTGTAGGCCAGCCAAGGCTACATAGTGAGACCTTGTCTCAAAGACAACAGCAAAAGGAGAACAAAGTATAGGTAATCAAGGCATAGTGATTCACATGCGTAATTCTCAGCACTCAGAGGGATGGGAAGGAGGGTCATGAATTAGTAGCTGTCCAGAGTAACATAACAAGACTCCTATCTTTCTATGTATGTATGTATGCATGTATGTATGTATGTATGTATGTATGTATGTATCTATCTATCTATCTATCTATCTATCTATCTATCTATCTATCTATCATCTATTTTTAGAAAGGAATTTACAGCGAGAGAAGATGGCAGATTCTAGACACTCAGAACGTACCCGAATCTCCACAAGTCTGAAAGATAACAAATGTGCAGAGCTGTAGGGAGGGATGGGTAACGTGGAGTATACAGCACAGGAGTATAACTGTAAGCAATACAGACAGACTAGGTGAGACCCAGAAACCTTAGATCTCTACAGTGAACACAGGAGTCTAACATCAGACAGCATGGTAGAGAGGGAAGAGACATTTCCCCAGTGAGACATTAGCAAATAAGAAACAGAAGCCGGCATGGGTACACAGTCTGTAAAACGTAGTTTAGCAGAGGGTATCTGTGACCCGTGCAACAGGAGCTGCAAAGGTCCCCTGTGCTTCCAGCATGCCCACTGACACTACAATGAAGAACACTCTAAGAGTCTTTCCAGCAAATCCTTCAGCAGGAGCCCCTGGGTACAGACCTCTCAAGTACCAAAAGCCACTCTTCTCCACTGGGTAAGTGGGCGATAGCCCAAGACTCAGGAGACTGGCTGTGCCCTCCACACCGCCTTGTAGACACTCTGCTTTGGGAAGTGTGGACCAAGCTGAGAGGGGAGTAGAGGATGCTTACAGGTGGGGACTGAGGCCTTACCTCTGGGAAGGGGATCAAGGCCGGCACACAGAATGGAACAAGGGTTGGAGCTGAGAATAGCGCGGCCAGGAACTGAGAGTACAAGTCTGACCCTGCTCTATCAGCAGAACCCGATTCAGCTTGATCACTTCTGATCCTCAGACTCCCAGAGATTACATGTGGAAACACCGTGCTTGGGCATTTTCCACTCCCATGATCATAAAGGCAGAGTGCTGATGTTGTCGGGCAAAACCCAAGTAACTGGTCCTCCACGTTGGCTAATAACAACAGCCCAAGGCAGCCCCTCCACACCCCTGGTAGCTCTGTGGGAATAAATATGGAGAGCTCTGACAGGAAGTCAGCCTGGCTGTCACCATAGTGCACACCTCAGCAGGGTGGAGTACAATCTGCAACAGTCCTTTGGCTCTAACTTGTGTGCCTCCTACACCAAGTAAACTTCAAAGAGACGTTGGCTGGGGGAAGGCATGCCATCCAAACCCTCTTTCTTTTCAGCAAAGGAATAATAATGTGGGTTTTTGTTTTTTTTTCTGGCTCTGTATTGTTTCTACTGTGTTTTCCCTTCATTGTTCTTTCTTTAAATTCAGAAATTTCTTTTTTTTAAACTTTTAAAAATTTTTACTTATATTTTATGTGTGAGGGCATTGCATGCAAGCCTGCATGTCAGAACAGGGCACCAGATCTCATTGCAGATGGTTGTGAGTTACCATGTGGTTGCTGGGAATTGAATTCCAGACCTCTGGAAGAGCAGCAGCCAGTGCTCTTAACTCCTGAGCATGCTCTCCAGCCCCTCACTGATTTCTTATACCTTCATTTTGTAATCTTTCCCACCTTGATTCCCTTTGTTTCTTTTCCCTCTCTCCATTTCTCTTCTAATTTAATTATTAATGCTTTCACCTTTACTAATTTTTAAACTCCTAGTTCACCTGAGAATTATTCTCACTCTTTTTTTCCCTAGTTGCTTGTTGGAGATGCAGCTGATGTCTTTAGTTATTTTTCTATCACATTTAGACATTGGCCTTGTTTCTCAATTGTCATTATTGAGATCTACATTGTCTCCTCTGAATGGCAGTGAGGACTGAGACCTAAAACTGAAAGTAACACACATACCAAAAGATGCCCAATTGCAATGTAGAAATTGAATAAATAGGAAAGGCAAGGCAATCCGACTTTTAAAAAAGCATGTAACCTTCAGTAATTAAATCAAAATGTATCAAAATAGTTGGAATGTGTGGTGGTTTGAATAGGTATGCCCCTCCCCCATAGTCTCATAGATTTACGTGCTTGAATGCTTGGCCCATAGGGAATGGCACTATTAGGAGGTGTGGTTTTGTTGGAGGAAGTGTGTCATGGTGGAAGTGGGCTTTGAGGTCTTATGCTCAAGCTACACCCAGTACACAGTTCACTTCCTGTTGCCGATGGATCAAGATGTAGAACTTTCAGCTACCTCTCCAGCACCATGTCTGCCTGGGTGCTGCCACACTTCTCGGCATGATAATAGACTAAACTTCTGAACTATAAGCCAGCCCCAAATGAATGTTTTCTTTTATAAGAGTTGCCGTGGTCATGGTGTTTCTTCACAGCAGTAGAAACCCTGACTAAGACGGCATGCCAGACAAATACTTCAAAGTCTACTGCAGAAAAATTATCTCAAAGAATACGTACATAAACAGATGAATGGAGCAAGGAAGACAGTTCAAAGGAACACTGGTAATGATGTTGGAACTCTGCATGTGTGTGAAGTTTTGGAAATGAGAAAGAAAAAACAAATAGAATAAATCAACAACAACAGCAAAAAAAAAAAAACCCTCAGTAGAAAGCATCATCAGTGAACATTAGTGATTGGAGGCTGAGGTGTTATCCCATTCATTTAAAAATTTAAAAAGCAAACAACCATGATCAGAACTTTAAGAACTCCAGCACACAAACAGGGGACCTCTCCTAAGAAACTATGGAACATTTCAAGACCTAGGTTCAGACATGTAACTTTCTTATTTTTTTAATACAGATTTCTTCCTTTCTATTTTATTTTATTTTGAGACATGGCCTCTATGATGTATCTCTGACTGTCCTCGAACTCACAGAGATCCACCTGTCTCTGCCTCCCAAGTGTTGGGATTAAAGATGTGCACCACCACACCTAGCTTCTAAATATAACTTTCTTAATGCAACTCTAATACCTCCATGAATAACAGGAAATTTGACAAATGGGATTACATTGAAACAAAGTGCTCCTGCACTTCAAAGGAAACAAGAGTCTCCAGGTCCATACATTCTCCTGTAAATGACGACATTCGGGTGAGATGGCTTAGCAGATAAGGGCATTTGAACCAAGTCTGATGATCTGAGTTCGATCCCCCACACCCACATGGTGGAAAGAGAGAACTGAGTTCTGCAAGTTACCCTCTGACCTCTGGTTTCTGCCCACACATGCCCACACATAGAGAGACAGAATAGGTTGACTCTCATTTCCTTCGCAGCGCAGAAGCACTTCATTTTTTAATGTATTGAGGAAAAGAAGTACCCTACGCTTCCTCTAAAATGTGGGATTTAGGATGGGAGATCCCCCACAAAAGCAAGTGGGAACTGTAAGTGCTGTGGAAAGAGGGTGGAGGACTAAGAGAGGGTGAGAAGGGGTGGGACATGATCAAAGCATTGTTCGCATGTAGGGAAGCACTGTAGTGGAGCCACACTGTACAGTTAAATCTAGACCAATTAAAGAAAGAATTGTTTTAGGAAGAAATCACAGGAGGGAAAATAGAACTGAAAGTCACCGAGAAGATGGGGCTGCAAGATAAAATCCACCGAGAACCCTAAGAAGTCAGATCAAGGATTGTGAACGGAAGTGCATGGAGAGGTGGCCCAAGACACTGAAGAGCATTGATGACCCATGGTGCAACGTCCCATGATATCAAAAATAATAGGGGAGGAAGACAGGTGAAAAATATATGTTTGAAGAAATAATGACTGAAAATTTCCCAGTTTGATAAAGGTTAGATCCACAAATCCAGGAAACCTAATGAACTCAAGTTTCTCTACATGGCTGCTACTGGGCTTCTTAACTTACTTAGATTAGGATGAACGTCAACATACCTTCCAGTGAGTCATTAATTGTTTGACCCCACTTGGCAAAATGAGCAGAGCCGCCTCCAGCCCAGGGAAAGCAAATCAGCCTAAAAACTGCATTGGGCTTTCGATACAAGCAGTTCAAAATATTTTCATTCCTAGGAGGAAAATTCAAATATATTTAGCATTACATGATGATACGGGATAAAAGTTCAAAACTGAATTAGGTGCGTTTTAATGATAATTCTCAATTTACCTACACAGTGCATGTGTTCAAATATGAAGAAATTACTTTCTTTTTCCGAGAAGCAAGGCCCCAAAGGTTTGAATACTGTGTTTTACGATTTGAATTTATAGGGACATAGATGGAACTCCTAGGGACACAGATGGAATGATGAAGTGTCTATGTGTTTTGTGCGTCCAGTAAAAATGATATGGCTATTAACTCAGACATACCTTCTTTCACAGTTGAGGAAATAGTTTTATTCAAGCACTTCATAGGTTCACTCTCAGTGTCTCCATTACTGAGACACTTCTCAAATCATCTACAAATTTTCCACAACATAAACTTCACTCTATTTTTTTGTTTTGTTTTGTTTTTTTGAGACAGGGTTTCTCTGTGTAGTTTTGGTGCCTGTCCTGGATCTCACTCTGTAGACCAGGCTGGCCTTGAACTCACAGAGATCCGCCTGGTTCTACCTTCCGAGTGCTGGGATTAAAGGCATGCACCACCGCTGCCCGGCAAAATTTTACTCTTTTATAAGTGTTTGAAAAACAAATACTTTTGAATCTGTGCATGGTGTCATTAGAAATTTTATACCAAGATCCAGCATTAAAAACAACTGATCTTAAAAATCGATATTAGAGCTGGGCGGTGGTGGCGCACGCTTTTAATCCCAGCACTCGGGAGGCAGAGCCAGGCGGATCTCTGTGAGTTCGAGGCCAGCCTGGGCTACCAAGTGAGTTCCAGGAAAAGGCGCAAAGCTACACAGAGAAACCCTGTCTTGAAAAAACCAAAAAAAAAAAAATCGATATTAGACAGCCATCCTGTATGGATGTATTTGTATTCTCCACAACATAAACCTCTCTTGGCAAGTTTCCAAATTGATCCTTAAATTTCTTACAAAGATATGGAAGCGTCCCAAATGAGAAACCATAAGCCATATGATAATGATTTTAAGTCTGTTTTGTCTTCTTAAAAAGTATCAGTATTATAGTTTTGGTTGTAAGTGTCCCTCACAATTCATGTATTAAAGGCTTGGTCCACAACTGATGGTGTTAGTGGGAGCTGGAGGAACACTTGAGAAGTGGGAACTGGCAGAAGAAAGTGAGGTGACTAGGAGCATTCCACTGAAGGGGGTCTTGGAGTTTCGGCCTGCTCTTTCTCAGCCTTTTTCCTCTCCCTCTTCCTCCCTCCTAAGGGGTCTGTAACTAAGCACCTTCACTCTGCCATGCATTCCCTGGCATGTCCACTTTCCTACAGGACCAACACAGCAGGACTCAAGGACTATGGATTGAAAAAACCATGATTTTGATATGAATGAATGTTTTCCCTGCATGTATGTGTGCCACATGCATGCAGTCCCCACAGAGGCCAGGAGAGGGCATCAGAACTACTGGAACTGGAGTCATAGGTTCTGAGCATTATCTGGGTGCTGAGCACTAAACCTGGCTTCTCTGCAAGAATGACAGTGCCCTTGACTGCTGAGCCACCCCGCCAGGCCCCCAGTCAAATCTTTCCTCCTTTAAGTTTATGTTTTGACATTTGATCTTGATAAAAAGCAAAACAACAACAACAAAATCCCAACCCCCCAAAAAAACACCAAAACCCCCACAACAACAACAACAAAACAAAAACAAAAACAAAACAAAACAAAAAAACAGATTGAGGTCTTTCTACATACTCTGTTCTCATAAGGAGACTTTTAACTTTATAATAAAATAACTAAGGACATGCATACTGTGAGACACTTAATACATGGTCACGGGTGAAAGTTTCTTTGGGATAAAGATAGTTTTAAAAGAAAAAGATTTTTTTTTGTATTGGGACTTATCAGATATTGCACCTAGGACTTCAAACATGCTGGGCAAACTCTCCACTACTGAGCTGCATTCCCAGCCAAGAAACATTGCTTGACTTACAGCTGAGCATTTAAAATTAGATCAAAGTTTTTCCCTTTGAGAAAGAACGTTTCTTCCTGGAGTTCCTCATCAACCCCATCTGCACCGAACTCACAGAGACTAGCTGGACCCTGAATAGGAATTTGCCGGACACATAGCATCTCAAAAAAATCCCAAAGCTGTTCAATCTAGGAATGAAAACCTTCTGTGGAGCCTGCCCTCAACTCAGTTAAAAACTACAGAAGAAAGGGACGAGTTTTCTGATTCTAATTTTTTGGGGGCTGTAGAAGAAGAACTAACTGAGTCTAACAATTCTTTAAATTTTATTTATTTATTTATTTGGCTTTTTGAGGCAGGGTTTCTCTATGTAGCCCTGCTTGTCCTGGAACTCACTATGCAGACTAGGCTAGTGCTCGATTAAAGACATGCACCACCATGCCCAGCTTAAAAAAATGTTTTAAAGTCAAGATTCCATCTAATGATTTAACTATATATATTTTAATAGACAAAAAAATGTGTTAGGACAAGATTATCTGTGAGTTTGAGAGCATTGGGGAGGGGTCTTTGAAAAATAGTACAACTTTACTAATACAAAATTAGGAACCAAACTTTTGACTCCCTAGTTTTTAAAAGTAAAACCATGATTTCTAGGTCAGCAGTGAGATCAGGGCCTGCCACTAGTTGGTTTAAGTCAATGTCAATCTCCAGAATTCACCATGATGAGGCACTAATACCAACAGTGGCCACATGGCCAAGCTCTCATGACAGGGTAGAGCCAATGGCTGCTCCCCGTGTGACTGAGCCTAGACTACAGAAGCACTCCCCCCCTGAGGAGGTTCTGCCTATGCCCCTCACATCCAGCCTTGTCCTGCCACTTTAAAGAGACACCCAAAGACCACCGACAACTGAATACACCTTCTTTTTCTCTTCCTTCTATGTTTTTATTTAAATCATCTACAACTTTAGAGTTGAGAGTGACCAGAGAAAGTATTTAATCCATTTGTACAGTGTAGTGATCAAGGCAGCAGAGGAAAGAAAGACTCGGATTTCAATCCTAAATACACCTCCTACCGCAGAGGACCATGCCTGAGGTTCCTCGCTAGTTAATTGTGAAAGCAAAGCACTAAGACTCCCACTCATAGTTTTAGGCACTTGTTATCTGTTACATCTTAACAGTTGTCAAAAATGAGACTCAAAGACACTAAGTCAGGCTGGCAGCGGTGGCACTCGGATGACAGAGCCAGGAGGATCTCTGTGAGTTCAATGACAGCCTAGACTACAGAGCGAGTTCCAGGAAAGGTGCCAAAGCTACACAGAGAAACCCTGTCTCAAAAAACCACAAAAAAAACCAAACAAACAAACCATTAAGTCACCAAACCAGTTAGTGATAAATCAGAATCAGAGCACGGATCCTGCGCATTAGTAAAGCTCTTTGTCTATTAACCCTTTCCCCACATCCTCACCATCAACGTCACTAAGTGGCAGGAAGTAGGGCACATATCTGAGAAGCTTTGGATTAGGGTTGGGGCAAGAATGGGTACTTTATGTTAGTGTGTTCTTCCAAACCCTGCAGGTTTTTCAGGCAAGCCAGAGATATACAATTTAACAAGTGCTGCTGGGCGGTGGTGGCGCACACCTTTAATCCCAGTACTAGGGAGGCAGAGCCAGGCGGATCTCTGTGAGTTGGAGGCCAGCCTGGGCTACAGAATGAGTTCCAGGACAGGAACAAAGCTACACAGAGAAACCCTGTCTCGAAAAACAAAAAACAAAAAACAAAACAAAACATGCTGCCAAGGGGCCAGCAAGATGGCCCAGTGAGTAAAGGCACCTGACGGCGAGCCGAATGGCTTGAGCTTGATCCTCGGGACCCACATGATAGGAGAAAAGCAACGCTTGCCAGTTATCCTCTGACCTCCACATAGTCATAGTGGCACACGCAATCATCAATCAATTCATTCATTAAATGTAAATTTTTGAAACCCCAAGTAAGTAGCATTTTATATACAAGTAATTGGTACCATCTTGCACTAAAAGCATTGGGCACCAAACTCAATTTCAGTGAAGAGTCTCTCTCAACTAACAAGGCAATCTGACCAAGTCGGGGTGCTGATGCACCGAAGATGTGGTGAGGGGAGCCAGGAGTACTTCCCAGAAGTAGCCTACCTGGTTCTCTTGTCATAATTTGCTGTCTCCATGCTGTGAGTTGATTAGAAATTGCTGTTCTCAGCAATCTGCTGTGTCCTTGAATTCAACTCGCCCCTAGGCATAAAAATCTCCAGTAAGCTTTATGTGCACAGAGTGACCGGAATTCTTTTAAACCCGTTGACTATGGTGGTCATTCCAAAACCTGCTTTTAAAAGGCAATGAAGGAGAGGAGGAGGGCAGGAGGAAGAAGGAGGAAAAGGAAGAAGTGGAGGAGGAAATGTATGAAGAAGAAGAGGAAGGAAGGGAAGACAGATCAGAGGCAGCACAGTTTATGGCAGCCTGGTGTTAGTGGCCTCTGCGTATAGACGGCCATCACTGCGAAGGTGAACCGGACTTTCAGATGATGTCCATGAAGGCAGACACTCATCCTTTTGAACAGTTTAAACAGTGCCCAGGTCAGTAGATAGAAAACACTCGGAACCTACTGGGAAGTGGGAACAGAGATACTTGTTTTGAAAATGGATGTCTTAGCTTTCTGGGTATTTACAAAGTTTTGTCCTTTTATTTATTTATTTTTTTTTTTTTTGGTTTTTCGAGACAGGGTTTCTCTGTGTAGCTTTGCGCCTTTCCTGGAACTCACTTGGTAGACCAGGCTGGCCTCGAACTCACAGAGATCCGCCTGCCTCTGCCTCCCGAGTGCTGGGATTAAAGGCGTGCGCCACCACCGCCCGGCAGTTTTGCCCTTTTAAATAGTAAGAGAGTATTAGGAATTCTTTTAAAAGGAGTAGGGGGAAATTTATTACTAGATCTGATACTTTGACTACTTGGGTCCCCAAGATAACTAAAAACAAGATTAAAAAACAAAACAACTGCCAGGCTGTGGTGGCTCACACTTTTAATACCAGCACTCGGGAGGTGGATCTCTGTGAGTTCAAGGCTAGTCTGGTCTACAGAGTGAATTCCAGGACAGCCAAAGCTACATACAGAAACCTGGTCTCTAAAAACAAAACGAAACCAAACCCAAACAAACAAAAAACCACCACAACAGAAGACCTGGCGCCTCCACCTTCTCTTTGTGTCTACCTTCTTTCCTTCGGGTCCTACACCCACCTGGCTGCATAAGCATTTAACTGTATTAACCATTCAGAGTGTCCATTTACAATCTGTGGCCAACTAAACCACTTTATCTCCCTCCCAGGCTGACGGCCGCGAGAGTCATTGCTTGAAACCAGCAGTCTGTGGGCATCAGAACCAGCAAAGCCCACGGGACAGAATGGCAGCCAATCGAGGAGAACTAGATGCCAGTGAGGACTACTGGGAAGCAGCTGCAGCCATCTCAAGGGAGCCAGCTGGTCTGCTCAGCCAAATGCAAGTGACTTCTTGGAACTGTCTGGAAGAACCAGAATGGAGACGGTGAACAAGCACCCTCACCAGAACTCCCTGTTACCATGTCTCTTCCCTGCCCCAATTCTTCCTTTGTTTACACACCACACTCTGTCGGCACCCTGAAGGCGGACATGGGGTCACTGGATCCCTTTGGTCCACATAAGTGGAATCTCCGTCCTCTGCCTTTCAGTGTCACTCAGTTCTCACTGTCGCTTTAGTTGGCACAGTGGTTTTGATAGTACAGCCTAACCTGTCTGGGCTCCTGAAACCCTGGGTTTTATCCTTAAGACTCCAGTAATGCTAGCATAAGACTCAGATAATGCCAGCATATCAAACTTCTAATCTTTTAAGCTTCCCTCATTCAGTAAAGAACATAAAGTTTACTGTAGTTTATCAACATATAAATGACACATAATTAATAAGGATTTTTAAATGACTTACCTCCTAGGAGTCCCCTGAATCCCTGGCAGTCATGTTAAGCCTATGGTTTAATTCACAGCCTCAGTGGTGATCCTCAGGAATGTTGGGTAGAACTGAGACTCAGCCTTCAGCTATGCTCCTTACAGCGGACAGGACGGCACTGAGAGAAACAGAGAACCTGCTCACAGAGGGCAGAGAGCTAGCCTTTTATCTGTAAGGACTCAGAGTCATCCTAAGGTCTCAGATGACTCACCCTGATAATTCACTAGGCAGTCACTGACCCTGTGAGGAAGTTTTTGCTCCTTAGATAACAATATGAAATGCAGCTTGGCATGGTGCCTGCCTGCCATCCCAGCACACAGGAAACTGAAGTATAGTGACTGTGAGTGTGAAGTTAGCCAGAGCTAGAGGGAAAGATTATCTCCAAACAAAAGCAAAAGAGCTATCTTTGAGGAGATCAAGCGTTCCTCGGGGCTCACATTTATGACTCAACAAATATTTTCCTAAAGTCAAATTCGGATGCATCATTTCTCAAGAGTGTCAGGATCCAAAGGCAAAGCAATAAGGATTCTCTGTAAGGGAAACCCCAGGAAATATTTGTTTGCGGCCGCAGTGGAGGAACAAAGGCAGGTGGGTTATGCTCAAGAAGCCAGAGCTTGGATTTGACCAGGACCGATACATGACACCAGGCTAAAAGTGAACCGTGCCCAGCAGATTTTAAGGAAGACAAGAAGGAAATCTGCTTACATCTGTACAGCAGGAAAACTGAAGACAAAACCAACAACAGATATTGATAAAGGTAAAGTGAACAGAGGAGGCGAGAACAGGACACAGGGTACAGATGTTATCTTGGAGGAGCAGCAGTTAAGCTGCTAGAATGTAGAAGAGCCATAGAAATAAAAAGTAGTTAATTTTCAAGCAAAAGAGAACCACATGGGTGTGTGTGTGTGTGTGTGTGTGTGTGTGTGTGTGTGTGTGTGTGTGTTAAACCCAGGGCCTTGCTAATGTTAAGTGCTTTAGCACTCAGCTACAAAAACATCTCAGACAACATGGAGTTCTCAGACCCAGCAAAAATGTCTTTTAAAAACCTGAGTAACTGGTAGGATTCCATTGTTCCCATGCTTGGTCCCACAGTCATGCACATATGGGAAGACTAACAGGACTTAGTGGGTTACAACAAAAAAGACATGAAGTTGGGAGAGGGAGATGTTGGAATATGGGGAGAGTTGGAGAGGGGAAATGATGGGGGCAGATGTGGTCTGCTGTGGAATAATCCTCTTGTACACTGTAAAGATTTGTCTCTTGAATTGGTGTGATAAAATGCTGATTGGCCAGTAGCCAGGCAGGAAGTATAAGTGGGTGACCAGACTAAGGATGATGGGAAGGAAAAGGGTGGAGTCAGAGAGTTACTGGCAAATGCAGAGAAGCAAGATGAGAATGTCATACTGAGAAAAGGTACCAAGCCACATGACTAAACATAGGTAAGAATTATGGGTTAAATTAAGTGTAAGAGTTAGCTAGTAACAAGCCTGAGCTATTGGCTGAGCATTTATAATTAATATAAGCCTCTGTGTTGTAATTTGGGAAGTGGCTGATGGGTATTCAGGAACTGGAGGGTGGGAGAGAATCATCCGTTTATGGTGGTCATATTTCATTGTATATCTATATGAAATTTTAATAATAAAGAAAAAAATTAAAATAAACACATGGAATAGTAAACCATTGTCTACACAAAATAATGCTAGTTTAAAATATAATTTATAATTTTCATTGTAGTTTAGAAGAAATTGTGAAGTATTGAAAACTGACTGCAAATGTAACAGAACAGAACACTGGGGGAATTAAAAAAGAAAATTACATTTGTTTGAAAGGATAAACAAACAAACAAACAAATAAAACAAAAAACCCAGCCAATATAAAAACATTTTCACAGCGGTGGAAACTAGACTGTCACTAAGTGGAAGACTGGTCTGAAGGCAAAGTAACTCAGGAACGATGTGAGATGCATGGAGGAATGAAAGACATGAACAGTGGTAAATAACTGAGTGACTGGGGACAGTGACGGCGTAAACTATAATGGTAATGTGTACCGAGTCTAAGTTGCATTTAAAATATCAGATCAAACATGTAAGTCAGTAGTACTTGAAGAAAGAGCCCTCCCTACATTATAAAATATTTGGACTTTGGTAAGTTTGTAAGTTTCCATTTCTAAAGCAAGCCCTCAAAACAACAACAAAAGATGACAAGTCACCAAAAGTTGAAGAGAAAAATATTTAGTCAGTCAAAAGGGAAAGGAAGAAGAAACATAAAGTGGGTAAAAGGGATAGAGAGCCCAAGCCAAGATCAGGTTTAAACCTGAATTCCATCCCTGGAACTGATGGAAAGGTAAGAGAGGAATGTTCCACAAAGTTGTCCTCTAACCTCTCCGTGGCCACATGGCACACTAAGCCTGCATACACACTCATGTGTATACACACACAGTAATAATAATAAGCAAAATTTAAAAAATGAAAGGAAGTTAATATCAGATTGAGGCACCTCCCCAGGTCATTTGTTTTTAGTTACATTTATTTACTTGTGTGTGGGTGTCTGGGGTGGGAGGAGTGTATGTTCAGGTGCCACAACGTTTGTGGACCTCACCTTTGGCCTGGTCTCTGTTGTTAATATGGCCTACTCAGCTGCCACCTGTTTGTCTCTCTGGATCCAGTCCTGCACATCACCTCCATGGTCCTACGGACCTGCCTTCTATACCTGGGGACTCCATGGTTCTACACCTGGCCTTTTCACCTCAACTCAACCTTGATGCTCAATTCAAACTTGCAACCTCCTGGCTTGGATCTGTAACAGCTGCATTTGCTGACATCTTATCTAGTCCCAGCTCTCTCCCTCTGCTCCACTAAAGCCTCCTTGAATTCTGCTGTGGCCTTCTTAACCTGTTTGTAGTCATTCTGTGACCTACATATACATACATATTACTGTATGTTGTGGATTATGTAGTCCAAGAGTTAATTTTTTTTTTACTCTTAATGAAAACTAACTCTCCTTCCTCTCAGAAGCCATTAAGTGTCCATAGAGCCTCACTTAGGACTGGGGGCTCTTGAGTTCCTTCCCATTCTATGCTCAAATGCTGGTGGGTCTGATCTTGTGCAGTCTTACGTAAGCAACCACAGCTGCTGTGAAGCTGTGAATGCAGCTATCCTGCCTTGTCCAGCAGAATGACGGCACCAGCCTGTGTCGTTTTGAGGTCCTCTGAGACACCTCACCAACTTGAGGGAGGTATCCCATATCTAGCATTGATCTTTTTACTTCTGGAATCAGCATAATCCCTTCCTTGTGTAAGATGGCCTAAGAGTTATGTTGGCCATAAAGATTGTGATAAAGTATGACTGCCAACGGCCATTTGGCAGAGAAACCAGGACTGCTTGGCAAGTTGCAGCTAATGAAAACAGCCTACCTTTGAATTCATTGTTACTCAATAAGTTCTGACATTTTGGAGAAAGTAAAAATAGCCATCTATGATTCTAACATCAAGAACTCCTGACTGTCAGGAAGCTCCACATCGCACTTTGATGATTTTGTGCTGTGAAACTAGACGGGGGGAGCAACCAGTTACTCCAAGTAACCATGTTAATGACTCAAGATGGCTACAGACATGTCAACTGAATTCTTATAATAACTTGGAAAGCACATGGTGTTGATATTGGCTGATATAATGGTACAGTGTGAGCTTCTGGTTTTTGAATTCTAGAATAAAAAAAAAATAGAGTAGACATAGATAGTTACAGTAGACGAAGCAAGGGCAACTCATTAGGAAAAAATGTGCTCCCCAGTGAGGAAAATAGGTCATAGCAAAGAGAATAGGGTTAGCTCGAGATGCCCCTGGTACACAAAGAATTAGGGCTTTAAAGCTACCTCAGCATAAGCTTGGCTCATTTGTACAGCATGAATTTTTTTTTTTTGCCTCCTTTGTATAACATGTTTTGTGTTGTTTTGTTTTTCTGTGCAAGCTCTGTTACAAGTAGAAGCTCCTGTATCACATGGTTCATTAGCATCTGAAATCTACATTATAGTCTGCATGGTTGGCCTGGGGTGAGTAGGTGTCCATATTTCCTCTTCTTCCTCTTGGCTAACTTGATTTTTTTTTTTCACACACTGTATACAGCTTTACACAAAGCTTTCCAGACTTCATGCTTGGCCCCATTCTCCTCCCTGAACATTAAGAGGTTTGGACTTGATCTTAAGAATGAGAATTCAAGATGGTGAGCACCTGCTGCTCTCCTGTAAGACGGGTGAACTCGGGCGAGCGAGCACTGAGGTTTGGATAAGCAGAAGATGGACATGGGTGTGGCCACAAGGCCAGTCACAAGACCACGACCAGGCTCCAGAAGGAAAAAACAATTTCCAGTTGAAGTTTATTCTAAGTAAACATGGGGAGGGGAAATATATTCTAAGCCATCCATTGGGAGGCCGAAAAAGAAGGGCTGTAAGCAAGAGCAGGTAGAATAGACCAAAGAGAGGAGCCTGGGGCCCTCGGGGCCAATCCTGCTGATGACAGGCTACCTCCTTTCCTTTCCTCCCCTTTCCTCCCCTTTCCTCTCCTCTCCTCCCCTCTCTTCCCTTCCTCTTCCCCTCGCCTCCTCTCCCTTCCCCTTCCCTCTCCCTCCCTTCCCTTCCCCTCCCCTCCCCTTCCCTTTCCTCCCTTTTTCTTTTCTTTTTTCTTTTTTTTTATATTGTTGAATTCCTCTTGTTGAATATGCAAGCATCAAGGCATCCCATGGCACCCTGGAGTCAGGATTCAAATCACTTACAGGCAAATCTGTCTTCCATGAGTAGAGATCTGCCTATATATCTGTTTGAACTAAGGCTCGCTTACTCTTCTTTTTCTAGTTCAAGAATCTCTTTTACATCTTTCTCTCCACTCTTTTTCCCTCTCCTACTGGAAACCCCTTCAGTGTCTAGTGAGGGCCACAGGCAAGCCATCCTCTGGGATGATGGCTCTGCCTCTGTTGTTCCTTAATTATGGCTGATGCTTTCTGTCTTCTCCCTCCCTGTTGTGGTTGACAGTGGCTGCCTCAGACTGTTTTCCCCTGTTTACTCCTCCATCCTCCACCTTGCCTGTGTTCCTCTAGCCTCGGGCTCTTCCTGTTCGCTCAACTTTCACCAAGGCCAACTCCAGCTTTGTGGGTGC